CCAGAGGCTGTGTCTACATCAATCACCCTGCAGGTAGACAGTCAAACAGGGAAAGTGCAGCTCAGCCAAAACCAGGATGCTGGAATGAGAAGAGCAACTGTCAATAAAAAGGAGTGTTACAGATCATCAGACTACTTACCCCTTAAGATTCCTCCAATTTTATCATTCCAGTAAATCACTTCAACAAATTTCTTCGAAAGTCCATTCTCTGACTGGATGTGGTGGAGATTGGGAAGTCACCACCCCCTTTCTCCACCTTGTCCAGTCAGAGAAAGCCTTGTATTCAATGTAACCTTGCAATAAAATCCATATCTGGAATTAGACTTTAACTCTTTCATGGTCAGGGATAATTTGTGCTTTTGGAACCAGATTAATTCTTTAACTTCCTTAGCGGTTTTCCCGAGTGTAGCTCGGGGTAAAATTTGAGTACCAAGAGCGGTAACCCCGAGCTACACTCGGGCTTACCATGCGGCACTGCTCAGGGGGTCCCTGCAGCACTTACCTTGTCCTTCGCTCCCGCGATGTGTCCCCTGCAGTGTCCCCGGCCATCTCCTCCGGCCGATGCCGGCATCCGGCTTCCGTGTTCCGGTCCCTGTGACGTCGAGACGTACGGGGGCGCCAGAACCGGCGGCAAATTTAAAATTTTTATGCATTTCACATATATATTTTGTCCCTACTGCTTTGTCCTGTGCCCTGCCTGCATTTTTACTGTTCTTTCTGCCTGGAAACTGAGAAACGTCCATGGCGTCCAAAAAGCGTCTCTTTAGGTCAAAAGCGGTTTTAGACGGCTAGAGAACAGCAATAGTAAATCAGAACCACTTGCAGAATTGAGTGATAATGATTCGTGGGGGAAATTCGTCATCAGATACTGAAAACGATTTTGCGACTTTGCTCAGCGATGTGCGAATTTGCCTCTGTATTTCAAATTTCAGTGTTTTTGGTTTGATTATATTATTGAATTAAATTTATTATTATTATTATTTTTTATGATTATTTATTAAATTACAATGTATGATTTTGTGTTTCAAGTTTTATTATATCCGGAATGTTTACTAGACTCTCGTTCAGACAGATCTCAGTGAGTTATTCCTAAAAATTACAGCCTACAATAAAAAAACTACATATTTCCATGCAAAATAATGGTACCGCTTTCAGCACAAAAAATCGCAAAGAATCAGACCGCCGAGGAGGTTAAACCTTCTAACAAGATATACAGTAAAACTGATGTTTTATGTTTTATTTTTACTATATGTATGCAGTCTTTGCTCAGAAAATAAACATGTAATACATGACAAAGGATTGTCAGAGCATTTTAGGTTAATGCATCTTGGAAGCTACCTGCCTTTTATTTACCTTTGTATGATTGAAACTCCACAGGGTGATGTCCAATGAGAAATGAGTTGTGGTTTTGAATTCATTCAATTGTGTAAGTAAATGTTAGCTTAAGTTACTGAGTCCTATAAACAACAGGCCTTTTTTTTACAGATCATAAGGAGCCAGGGGCGTACATATCAAAAGAAGCTCTCAACTTGCTGTGTGTTTGTGAATATGAGTGTAATGTCAAACTGGATAATTGCACTTTCCAAAAAAAAATCTGCTTACACTGGTCCAATTGGTTCCAATTACACTCTTCTTCAAATTCATCTCAAGCTCAACCCAGCCACATACCTGCCCAGCTTTCCACCAACCAATTTGTCCAAAAGAAAGTTACTCCTGCATGTAGTAACAGCTAAACGTTGCTCAATTACCTCTCACTGGTGAGACACGCCTGGCAATCACACTTGATATACATTGTTTTTCAAGTAAAACGTATAGAAGCCGTCACTGCCAGCATGAATTATGCTCTTACCGCCTATTAATGAACGTGGGACCCCTGGGTCTGCTTTGATGCTCACACCCTGCATGATGTTTCCTGTTGGGATACGTGGTAATTATCCTGCTCTCTCCCATCAGGCTACCCCCTACTTTTATTTTCAACCTTTCCTCCACCTAGTTGGGTGAATACACTCTCCTTGAGCCATTCTTCTTATCCTCGCTTTTCCTACATGCAGGAGTAATTTTCTTTTGGACAAATTGGTTGGTGGGAAGCTGGGCAGGTATGTGGCTGGGTTGAGCTTGAGATGAATTTGGACTACAATAACATTTTTGGTACATTGTCAAAACCTGGGTTCTAGACTGTCACCCACTAGGCCAATGTTCTTCAGTTGACTGAACTTGTTGTAGTATAACACAGCCTTTATCGAACTTTTTAATATACAGGAACACTTCAATAATTTTCCAGGCTCAGGGAACCCCTGCTAAAAATTTCAATATCAACTTTTCACAGTACATTAGTGTGATGGCCACTTAGAAGAATGTCACCTACTTTTGTGGTCATTGGGAAGGTCCTCACCGCCCTTACAGATAGCTAGAAAGACATTGTTCATAGTGGTTCCTCATCTGAGATGCAAAACTTGCTTATTGCTCAAGGAACCCTAGTTGAGAAAGGTTGGTATAACTAAAATCTAATCATCGATGGACTGTATACTATCAGAATATTGCTATTACTTCTTTTGTTGTCTGCTGCATTTTTAATTTCTGCTGCTACGTCTGACTAAGCTCATATTTTTGACGTTGTCTATCAGTGGACCATGTGTTTGGTCATCTTGTGTGTGAAATCCAAATCTCAGGTCCTTCACTGTGTTGTATCTCTGAAAATATTCTAATAAAAATTCATTGAAATAAAAAAGGGGCATTGTCCTATTGAAAGACCGTACCACACGCTAGAATGTAACTATACAGTTCTTGGCCATTACGGGATAAGAAAGCTTTTGGCTGACTTTAGTAGGATCTTAGCTTGAAGCTTGCTAAAAGTCTACTCATGAGTGTGGGGATCACAAGCTGAGCTAGGATGAAGGAATGTTTATTAGTAAATAAGGAGGGGCAGGAAAGGAAATAGAAACCACCAACAGAGCTGAGGGTTCATAGAGGTTTTTGTAATGTTGTCCCCTCCACTTATACATCTGTGATACTCCACGCACAGTAATAGAGCCCTGCATCTTCAGCCTGAATCTCATCGCTTTCCAAGGTGAATTCAGCTTCTTTGTCCTTTCTTCTCTCAGCTTTGAAATGTTTGAGCGTTAGCTCTTCCACCGAACCTTTTCCAAAAGATGACACTACATACACAAGAGCCCCTCCGGTCATCGGCCTCCTATACCAATACATATAGGGATCTCCAGTAGCTGTCGAGGTGCAATTCAGCTTCACCGGCTGCCCAGGGCTCACTACTATCAATGGGGGAGTTTGTAGAATGGACTGGAGCAGACATGGTGTCAGGCACAGAGCGAGGACAAGGAGAAGGATATACATTGTTAAGGTGAGCAGTTAAATTTTTCAGAATAGACGTTGAATTTGTTCCTGCATAGAAACAAAAAATCCTATACCTTTTTTTTTTTAAATCCTTCCTCTTTTATATTTCTTTAAAAATGCTTTGATTTAAATTTAAATTAGTAAAAACCAACTGAAAAAAAAATAACAAGCTAACTCTATGGGAGAAGTGCCATACGCATGTTCTGGTGTGCTGACACGCATTCTAATATTCTGTGTCATCCGGTCACCTGTTCAATCTAACATTGAAAATATGCTCTGGTGATGGTGAATACGGCCCAGGCAGATTAAGATTTCCTTGCAGTTTGGAGAATGTGGAGAATTTTATTATCCATTTGCAGTGGTGCTGGCAGTGTAAGCGAGGGATTGTGTTATAGATTGGTCTGCTTCTTCATGCTGGCTTGTTTTTATTGCTCTGAGTCTTGCTAAAGAATAAGTCATACAGGCTTTTTCTTCTTTACACTGAGTTCTGGCTCCTCCTTCTTCCATAATGGAACACGCCTTTATTACATAGGCACCATAAACCCCATAGAGTACCTGAGTACAGTAATGGCTGAGGGTGAAATAATTCCTAAGTCTATAAGAGGACAAGACCCCAGTAATTCTTTTACCACCTCAGCATTCAATGAAAATAATTTTTCTTTCTTTAAAACAGCCTTTAAAGTGTTACTAAACCCAGGACCTTGCATTCACTATATCTGGTCTCCCCGGACCCTGCATTCACTATACTGGTCTCCCTGGACCCTGCATTCACTATATCTGGTCTCCCCGGACCCTGCATTCACTATATCCGGTCTCCCCGACCCTGCATTCACTATATCCGGCCTCCCCGGACCCTGCATTCACTATATCCGGTCTCCCCGGACCCTGCATTCACTATATCTGGTCTCCCCAGACCCCGTATTCACTATATCCGGTCTCCCCGGACCCTGCATTCACTATATCTGGTCTCCCAGGACCCTGCATTCACTATATCTGGTCTCCCAGACCCTGCATTCACTATATCTGGTATCCCCGAACCCTGCATTCACTATATCTGGTCTCCCCAGACCCCGCATTCACTATATCCGGTCTCCCCGGACCCTGCATGCACTATATCTGGTCTCCCAGTCCCCTGCATTCACTATATCCAGTCTCCCACAGTACACAGAACATGGAAATGCAATTATTTCAGTAAATATAAACTGTTAAATACCTTTTCTCAACAGCAGTCTTGTGACTTCTATCAGTGTTTAGCACAGCACTGGGTAAAGCTTGTAGGAAGGTTTTATCTTTCTGCTCTAAACTGTTACACTTCCAGCATAGAAAGGCTGAAGTCAGATCTCATGGGGCCCCCGGGCAATAGGGGATCATGGGGCCCCAGTGTCCTTGCCCAAACTCAAAAAAGCCTATGAAAAAGGTACTAGGGGCATCTCATGGGGCCCCCTACTGACCCCGGGCCCTCGGGGCAGTGCCCGAGTTTCCAAATGGTCAGTCCGCCCCTGCTCCTTCTAGAACTTTACAAGGTGAAGAGACACAAGCTGAGCTAGGATGAGGGAATGCTCATTAGAAGATAAAGAGGGGTAGAAGAGGAAATAGAAACCACCAACAGAGCTGAGTGTTCATGGAGGTTTTTGTACTGTTATCCCCTCCACTTATACATCTGTGATACTCCACGCACAGTAATAGAGCCCTGCATCTTCAGCCTGAATCTCATCGCTTTCCAAGGTGAATTCAGCTTCTTTGTCCTTTCTTCTCTCAGCTTTGAAATGTTTGAGTGTTAGTTCTTCCACCGAACCTTTACTAACAGATAAGACAATGAACACAAGAGCCCCTCTGGTCATCGGCTGTCTATACCAATACATATAGGGATCTCCAGTAGCTGTCGAGGTGCAATTTAGCTTCACCGGCTGCCCAGGGCTCACAACTATCATTGGGGGAGTTTGTAGAATGGACTGAGGAAGGCATGGAGTCAGGCACAGAGCGAGGACAAGGAGATGGATACACATTGTTAAGGAGGGCAACTCGCTTTTGTTCTTGCCTAGAATAATTCTTTACGTACTTTGTTTGCCAAAAAAGACCCTTTACCCTTTTTTATATTTCTTTAAAAATATTTTGATTTAAATTTAAATGAGTAAGAATCGACTTAAAAAAAACAGACTAAAGTTACGGGAAAAGCACCATATGCACAATATAATATGCTGACATGTATTCTAATTTGCTATCCCATACAATTGCCTTTTTCAGTCCAATATGCTCTGTGATGCTAAATGAGATCCAGGCAGATTAAAATTTCTTTGCAACTTGATTAGAAAACAATTTTGGATGTAAAGTGGAGAATGACATTGTCCGTTTGCTATGGAAATGGCAGTTTAAGTGAGGGTAAGTGTTAAAAATGAGCCTGCTGCTTCATGCCGGGTGATGTTTCTGCTCTGAGGTCTAAAGAAGCTAAGAGAAAGATATTTCTTTCTTTACAGTGAACTCCTCCTTCTTCCATAATGGAGCTTTTATTACGTAAGCACTATCAACCCTTTGTAGGACCTGAATACAGTGGTAGCTGAGGATGGAAGGTCCCATAAGGGGAGGAGTAAAATGTATTCTATGTTTAATTTACCTTCTCTGCATTCAATAAAATAGAATTTTTGGTTTCTTCAAAAAAAAAAAAAAAAAAACCCTTCCCTGTCTCTTTATTTGCCAGTTGAGCCTCTTGCACAACCTTTCTCAACCTTTTCAACACGGAGGAACCCTTAAAAATAAACTTCTGGTCTTAGTGAACCCCTGCTAAAAATGACTTTATCTACAACTTATGATACATTAGTGTGATAGTCAAGGAGAAGAATATTCCTTACACTTGTGGGTATTGGAAAGAATTACCCTCTTACCGATAGCAAAAAGATCAATGATGTCAGTGGGAACTGATCCGAGAGGCAGAAATTGCTCATTGCTCAAGGATCACCTATCAACCACTGGAATTTCACATCCCAGAGTATTTTTTTGTTCTTGTAGGACCTGAATACAGTGGTAGCTGAGGATGGAAAGGTCCCATAAGGGGAGGAGACCCCAGTAAAATGTATTCTATGTTTAATTTACCTTCTCTGCATTCAAAAAAATAGAATTTTTGCTTTCTTCAAAGAAACCCTTCCCTGTCTCTTTATTTGCCAGTTGAGCCTCTAGCACAGCCTTTCTCAACCTTTTCAACACGGAGGAACCCTTGAAATAAACTTCTGGTCTTAGTGAACCCCTGCTAAAAATGACTTTATCTACAACTCATGATACATTAGTGTGATAGTCAAGGAGAAGAATATTCCTTACACTTGTGGGTATTGGAAAGAATTACCCTCTTACCAATAGCAAAAAAAATCAATGATGTCAGTGGGAACTGATCCAAGAGGCAGAAATTACTCATTGCTCAAGGATCACCTAGCAACCAGGGGCAGACTGACCATTTGAGCACTCGGGCACTGCCTGAGGGCCTGGGGTCAGTAGGGGGCCCCATGAAATGCCCCTGGTACCTTTTATAGGCTTTTTATGGGTGTGCTTTGAGTGTGGGCAAGGACACAGGGGCCCCATAACATAACATTCCACTTCTTTCCCTTAAAAAACTCTTTGGTTGCTTTTGCAGTATGCTTTGGGTCATTGTCCATCTGCACTGTGAAGTGGCGTCCAATGAGTTGTGAAGCATTTGGCTGAATATGAGCAGATAATATTGCCCGAAACACTTCAGAATTCATCCTGCTGCTTTTGTCAGCAGTCACATCATCAATAAATACAAGAGAACCAGCTCCATTGGCAGCCATACATGCCCACGCCATGACACTACCACCACCATGCTTCACTGATGAGGTGGTATGCTTAGGATCATGAGCAGTTCCTTTCCTTCTCCATACTCTTCTCTTCCCATCACTCTGGTACAAGTTGATCTTGGTCTCATCTGTCCATAGGATGTTGTTCCAGAACTTTGAAGGCTTTTTTAGATGTCGTTTGGCAAATTCTAATCTGGCCTTCCTGTTTTTGAGGCTCACCAATGGTTTACATCTTGTGGTGAACCCTCTGTATTCACTCTGGTGAAGTCTTCTCTTGATTATTGACTTTGACACACATACACCTACCTCCTGGAGAGTGTTCTTGATCTGGCCAACTGTTGTGAAGGGTGTTTTCTTCACCAGGGAAAGAATTCTTCAGTCATCCACCACAGTTGTTTTCCGTGGTCTTCCGGGTCTTTTGGTGTTGCTGAGCTCACCGGTGCGTTCCTTCTTTTTAAGAATGTTCCAAACAGTTGTTTTGGCCACGCCTAATGTTTTTGCTATCTCTCTGATGGGTTTTTTTGTTTTTTCAGCCTAATGATGGCTTGCTTCACTGATAGTGACAGATCTTTGGATCTCATCTTGAGAGTTGACAGCAACAGATTCCAAATGCAAATAGCACACTTGAAATGAACTCTGGACCTTTTATCTGCTCATTGTAATTGGGATAATGAGGAAATAACACACACCTGACCATGGAACGGCTGAGAAGCCAATTGTCCCATTACTTTTGGTCCCTTAATAGGTGGGAAGCACATATGCAAACTGTTGTAATTCCTACACCGTTCACCTGATTCCATTGTGGTGGTGTATAGAGCCAAAAATGTTAGAATTGTGTCGATGTCCCAATATTTATGGACCTGACTGTACCCTCTTACAGATAGCAAAAAGATCAATGGTGTCAGTGGGCACTGATCCAAGAGGCAGAAATTGCTAATTGCTCAAGGATCGCCTAGCAACCACTGGAATTTCACATCCCAGAGTATTTTTTTGTTCCGGTGACCATTGTCAATGGGGCAGAAATGATGGAAAAATACAAAAATTTACAGTTGTCAACGAAAAATAATTAGAGGGTAAATTGCCTAATAGGGACAGTTGTTCTGGCAACAACTACGACAATGTTTTCCTTCACTTTGGGGAAATTTCCTTATATCTCTCATTCTGCCTCAAAGAACAAAAAAAAAGAATGAAAATCTCCCCAACATGATACAGACCGCACATAAAAACCCAACAGAGGTTCAAACTGTTCCCCAACCTGTCCAAAACTTGGCTTTGGTTATACTTATGCTGAGCTCCAGCGTGGTCCCTCTAGTTGCTGACCTCCCACAGCCTTCTCTCTAAGGCAACCCATACATTAGTAATTCTTTTCATTTAACCAATGGGTGGAACAAAAAAAAATTACACAATTCCCATCATCCACATCGAGGGAATCCTTCCCATTGAGTTATTGTATTCTGACAGCAAGGAGACTTCCTACCATCTGAATACACCGATCAGTGTTGCTGGCTAGGGTGATTGTATAGAATTTGATTGGTAGGTCTACTTCTGTACAACCATCCTGCCCATACATGGATCGAAATTCAACAAGTCCCCGCTGAATCGGCCAAATTTCGATCTATGTATGGGCGGCTTAACGTGGTTGTAAACCCTTGCATATACCCAGTGAAGTGTCTGAACTCCTAGATTGTAAGCTCGAAAGAGCAGGGCCCTCGATCCCCTCATGTTTTGCATTGTATTGTTGTTGTTCTGTCACATGTTCTGTCCCCCTTTGTAATGTACAGCGCTGAGCGAACTATTGGCGCTTTATAAATACTGTATAATAATAATAACAATGCACAGAGATTAAACAAATGCTTCTACATAAGTTGTACCTATATATCTACAGTCTTCTCCTCTCTACATCCTGTCAAAGTCCAGAATTTATTAAGCTTGTCTGAGCTTTCAGAATACAAAGGGCAGAGACCTGAAATTACACTCTGCAGAGCTCAGTGAGACCTCTGAGAGCTGATTGGAGGGACGGGACACACCTCCCTCCACACAGCAAACAGGAACAGAGCTGAGGCTGTCAATCACAGTTTGCGTGCTGGAAATCCCTCCCCTGTCAACATTTTTCTCTTGGTGTCAGGAAAAGTGTTGGAGGTGATTCCCTTCTCAGTAATTGGGGATAAATAGCCCTGCACTGTACATGATGATGCCAAAGTACCACCCACAGAATGAAGCTTCGGGGAAAGGAGAGCCGAAGTGGGGGTGTAACATAAGTATGAAAGCCTGGTACCTCCCTAGACATAATGACCATTTAACCCTTGCAGTGCAGAAGGACCTTACTGCAAGGGTAGATTTTTTTTTTGAATTCCTGGAGTTGAGATTTAAAAGTAAATCTGTCCCGAGAGTAATTCTGGATCTATCATTGCTGACCTCCTTTAAAAAATATACTAGGTAAAAAAAATGAGAAAAAATACGTGTAGGCATTGAAATGGATGTGGAGATCACAAGCTGAGCTAGGATGAAGGAATGTTTATTAGAACATAAGAAGGGGTAGGAAAGGAAATAGAAACCACCAACAGGGCTGAGGGTTCATAGAGGTTTTTGTAATGTTGTCCCCTCCACTTATACATCTGTGGTACTCCACGCACAGTAATAGAGCCCTGCATCTTCAGCCTGAATCTCATCGCTTTCCAAGGTGAATTCAGCTTCTTTGTCCTTGTTTCTCTCGGCTTTAAAATGGGTGACTGTCAGCTCTGTGACCGAACCTTTCCCAACAGATCTGACTATAGACACAAGAGCCCCTCCGGTCATCGGCTGCCTATACCAATACATATAGGGATCTCCAGTAGCTGTCGAGGTGCAATTCAGCTTCACTGACTTCCCAGGGCTCACAACTATCATTGGGGGAGTTTGTAGAATGGACTGAGGCAGGCATGGAGTCAGGCACAGAGCGAGGGCAATGAGATGGAGACACATTGTCATGGTGAGAAAAGGATGAATGTCGCTTACATTCGCTTGCGTCCCACCTGCCAACAAAAAAATTTTTTTTTTTGCAAAAAAAGTTTCCTTTTTTTATATTTCTTTAAAAAAAAGATTGGTTTAAATTAGTGTGCATGCATGAAAAAAAAAACACGCATATACTTTGCACTGTACGCACGTTATGACACCCTGACCTTGGTTCTAAATCCTTCTCTCATGCGATTTGCTTTTTTGATTCATCATGCTTTACGGATGTTGACTATATTGCACAGAGAGGTTCATATTTTGTTGCAATGTAATTAAGAGATAGATTGTGATGACTCCTTTTTGGGAATGGCATCATCCGTCTTCTATGGGCATCGCAATGGAAGCGAGGGTCGGCGTTGCGGATTAGACTGCAGGTTTGTGCCGGTTAGTTTTGCTCTCTGAGGTTTTGAAAAAGAATAAGACATGCAGGTTGGCTTTCTTTACAGAACATTCTGGCTCCTCCTTCCACCGAGGAGCTGGGTAATGGAGCACGCCTTTATTACATGAGCACCATCAATTCCTGCAGTACCATGGTGGATGAAGGTGATATGATCTCCAAGCCAATGGGGGTGAGACTAGGGTTGCCACTTCATCCCTTCAGAACTGAACACATATTAATGACACAGGTTCTGCGGCTGATTAAGCTGCTAATTGAACTCACTTAGTGCTTTATCTGCATTGAATTAGCCTCAGAACCTGTGTCATTTAATATGTGTTGGCTTTCAAAGGGATGAGGTGGCAATCCTAGGTGAGACCCTATTAAAATTGATACTCTATTTTATTGAACTGTGTCTTCAGTAAAATGGCCCATTATTTTGCTTTTTCTCAGAACAGCTCTTCCCTCTCATTTTATTTGGCAATTGAGCCTCTAGAAGACTTAAAGTGTTACTAAACTCCGGACCCTGCATTCACTATATCCGGTCTCCCCGGACCCTGCATTCACTATATGCGGTCTCTCCCCGGACCCTGCATTCACTATATCCGGTCCCCCGGACCCTGTATTCACTATATCCGCTCTCCCCGGACCCTGCATTCACTATATCCGCTCTCCCCGGACCCTGCATTCACTATATCTGGTCTCCCAGGACCCCTGCATTCACTATATGCGGTCTCCCCGGACCCTGCATTCACTATATCCGGTCCCCCGGACCCTGTATTCACTATATCCGCTCACCCCAGACCCTGCATTCACTATATCCGCTCTCCCAGGACCCTGCATTCACTATATCTGGTCTCCCCGGACCCTGCATTCACCATATCCGCTCTCTCTCCCCGGACCCTGCATTCAGTATATCTGGTCTCCCCGGACCCTGCATTCACTATATCTGTTCTCTCTCCGGACCCTGCATTCACTATATCTGTTCTCTCCGGACCCTGCATTCACTATATCTGCTCTCCCTGGACCCTGCATTCACTATATCTGCTCTCCCCGGACCCTGCATTCACTATATCTGCTCTCTCCGGACCCTGCATTCACTATATCTGTTCTCTCCGGACCCTGCATTCACTATATCTGGTCTCCCCGGACCCTGCATTCACTATATCTGCTCTCTCCGGACCCTGCATTTACTATATCTGGTCTCCCCGGACCCTGCATTCACTATATCTGCTCTCCCCGGACCCTGCATTCACTATATCTGCTCTCTCCGGACCCTGCATTCACTATATCCGGTCTCCCCGGACCCTGCATTCACTATATCTGTTCTCTCCGGACACTGCATTCACTATATCTGGTCCCCCTGGACCCTGCATTCACTATATCTGTTCTCTCCGGATCCAGCATTCACTATATCTGGCTCTTCTCGGACCCTGGCATTCACTATATCTGCTCTCTCCAGACCCTGCATTCACTATATCCGGTCCCCCGGACCCTGCATTCACTATATCTGGTCTCCCCGGACCCTGCATTCACTATATCCGCTCTCCCTGGACCCTGCATTCAGTATATCTGGTCTCCCCGGACCCTGCATTCACTATATCCGGTCCCCCTGGACCCTGCATTCAGTATATCTGGTCTCCCCGGACCCTGCATTCACTATATCTGGTCTCCTCGGACCCTGCATTCACTATATCTGGTCTCCTCGGACCCTGCATTCACTATATCTGGTCTCCCCGGACCCTGCATTCACTATATCTGGTCTCCCCGGACCCTGCATTCACTATATCTGGTCTCCTCGGACCCTGCATTCACTATATCTGGTCATTCCCCCGGACCCTGCATTAACTATATCTGGTCTCCCCCGGACGCCTCTCTGGAAGCAGGAGACCCCCCCATCTCTCTCTATGTGGATGAATGAAATTGATGAAGTTTATTCAGTGGAAAGTATCATGGCTTTGTGGCAAGGAGAAGTTCAATGGTAGTTGGTTCTATCAGACCCTTTTTACCTGTTCAAGGGAATATGAGTTATTCATGCGTTTGGAGTAGTGAGACTTCCCCTCCCTTCTTCCCCTTAAAGCCCCCCCCCCCTTTTTTTTCTTTCTCCCTACCCCTCTGTCTTTCTCACTTGCTTCTTTTGAGAATCTAGCTTCTGTGGTGTTATTCCCTTAAAATACACAGATTGGATACATATCTTTTCTTCAACTCGGTATCTATACCTGACAGATAACTCTTACATTCATTGTTGGGAAAGATCATTGTTGTGTCTAGTATGTTATATTTCAGTGAACTTGACTTATCCTGCCCCCTGAGCTTGCCTGGCCTTCTATCTGTATGTAAAACCTTTAAATAAGTCATGTTAAAAAAAAAAAATAGGGAGATATTTTATTTGTTTTAATTTTATTTTTTTACATTTCTTCTGTTTCCTGATTTCTGGCCTAGGCCAGAAGGATTTCATACATCCCAGGAGTCTTCAAGGGAGGAGGAGCAGCAGAGGGACTTTGTCAGCTAAGCACACACTCCTGCCAACATGATGATGACATTACTCAAGATGGCCACGGCCAGAAATACTAGGAGGGTGTTTTTCAAAATGATTTCTCATCAAAATAAAGCATGGAGATATGGATGGGGGAGTGTCCTTTGAATTTTAAAAATTAATAAAACAGCATTTTCAGTTTGTGGTGCTCAGGTGCAATTGGCCTTTTACCTTGTCATGTGATCAGTTGTGTTTGTAGGACACAGCGATCACTGACAGCACCGGGTGTGCGCTGCTTGGGGTGCATTCTGGGAGGACATCATATGACGCCCTCCCAGAACTGGACAACCGCGCTGTAGCCGTCTTTTGGTTGTAAATTGGTTAAACCACTATTTTTGTCTATGATATTTCTCCTGACTCTGTCTTTCTTAGTTAACCACTTGCCGCCCAGCCACTGTAGATATACGGCGGCCGCGCGGCAGTGGCAGGCAAAACCACGTTTTAAAATGTGTGTTTTGTAAACAAATAGGGGGCGCGCGCGAGGCGCGCTGCCGCCCTATCTGTCCCGCCGATCACCGCCGCGGATGTCAGTTGCCAGGTCACAGCCGGTCCTTAGCGGCTGTTTCCCGGCGATCGGCGGTAAACAGTGACAGAGAGCACAGCTGCAGTAGCTGTGCTGTCTGTCACTTCCTTGTCAGCTCGAGGATGAGCCTATCGAGACAGAAGAGTTTTTCTCTCCCGATCAGCCTTGTCCCACCCAGTACACACCCCGCCCCCCCTAGTAAAACACTCCCCTCACACAGATAACCCTTCCCTGCAAAATAAAGTTAACCCCTTCCTCCCCAGTGCCATTAGTACAGTGTCAGTGTTTTTCTTTTTGCACTGATCACTGTATTAGTGTTTTTTTGGGGATGTCAGTGACCCAAAGTCAGTACCCCCCAATGTCAGAATGTCCGCCGCAGTCCCACCATAAGTCGCTGATCGCCCCCATAAGTCACTGATCGCCCCCATAAGTCACTGATCGCCGCCATTATTAGTATAAAAAAAACTCTAAAAAATCCCAGTATCTTTCCCACCATTTGTAAACGCTATAACTTTCACGCAAACCAATTAATTTACACATATTGGCGTTTTTTTTTTTAGCAAAGACATGTCGCAGAATGCATTTTGGCAGAAATTTATGACTAAATTTGATTTTTGCATTTTGTTTACTGGACATGTTTTATAGCAAAAAGTCCAAAATATTGTTTTTTTTCCTCAAAATTGTCAGCCTTTTTTTTTATAGCGCAAAAAATAAAAACCGCACAGGCGATCAAATACCCCCAAAAGAAAGCTCAATTTGTGGGGAAAAAAAGGATGTAAATTTCATTTATGTACCGTGTTGCATGACCGCGCAATTGTCCGTTAAACTAGCGCAGCGCTGTATAGCAGAAAAATGGCGTAAGTTGCAGTATTTATACCATAGTTTGTAGATGCTATAACTTCCACACAAAGCAATCAATATACACTTATTGGGATTTTTTTTACCAAAAACATGTAGCAGAATACATTTTGGCCTAAATTTATAACCAACTTTGAGTTTACTATATATTTTTTATAGCTGAAAGTAAAAAATATTGTTTTTCTTCAAAATTTTTGTCCTTTTTTTTGTTTATAGCGTGAAAAATAAAAAGCGCACAGATGATCAAATACCACTGAAAGAAAGCTCTATTTGTGTGAAAAAAAGGACGTAAATTTCGTTTGGGTTCAGCATTGCATGACCGCGCAATTATCAGTTGAATTAGCGCAGCGCCAAGTAGCAAAAAGAGACCTGGTCATTAAGGGGGGTAAATCCTCTGGAGCTCAAGTGGTTAAATTCCTTCCCACTCTCTGTACATTTTTCGTCTTTGTTCTTTCTTAGGGCTCATTCACACGGACATATCCAATATACAGAGTCACATAAAGTATCTTGCTGGAAGAGGCTGGAAGAAAGATTTTTGTATTTACAGTAAGCATTTAACAACTGTACCGTATATACCAATAGGGGCCCTATTGGTAGCTGCT